AAAACTGTGGCATCAAAGATGGAAACATAATTCATGTATTTAAAAATTGTATTTCCATCTTTGTTGCCACAGTTTTGGAAGTGCCTTTTTCTGTTCTAAAGAAGGGGGTGTCCCAATACTTTTGTCCATAGTGTGTGTACAAGTCGTTGTTGTTAGGTGATGAGTTTTTGGCACAAGGTCTGCATTTAAAGCCACACCAGAGGTGTTCAGCTGGGATTATTATTATTTTTTTTTTTATTTAAACCTTTATTTAACCAGGAAATGAAACTCTTGAGATTAAAAATCTCTTTTACAAGAAGGTCCTGGCCAAGATTGGCAACACATTTAGTTACACATAAAATTAAATACATTAATTTACATATACAGAAATATACACAAGTCACTCGAAACATTTACAATCAAATGACTCTAAAACTAGATCCTTTAAAATACATTTAAAATCAGTTAGTGATACCAACTCTTTTAAGCATAACTTATCTTGTAATTGATTCCAATCAAATGGAGCGGCATAACTAAATACCCGTTGACCCATATTAGTACGAACTTTAGGGATTATAATAGTCTTGTGAGTGAAGACCATAATTCTTTATACCTTTTTGTAGGACTTGGCTTTCTGCAGACCAGTCAAGTTCTTCCACACTGACTGAATCAATCTTTTTTTTTTAACCTTGCCTTATACACAGAGGCATTGTCATGTTAGAATAGAAAAGGGTCCTGTCCAAACTGTTGCTATAAAATTAGAATCACACAATTCCCTATAAATATCATTATGTGCTTAAATATTAAGATTTGTGCTCATGGAAATTACAAAAGTAGTCAAACCTGTTCATTAGAAGGGGGTGTCCAAATACTTTTGGCAATATAGTGTACATGTTGAACAAGATCGGTGCAAGAATTGAGCCTTGTGGGACTCCGCATGTCATGGAAGGGGGGGATTTTCTCCAAGGTGCTTTTTGTCTGCCCGTCTTCTTCCTGACTTTCACAGGAGCAATATCATCAATAACATTCCTACAATTGTTTGGCTACTTATGTACATTGATGTTAAAATGAAAATGGAAAATACAAATTAAAAAAACTAAATTCAATTCAAATTCAAAAAATATATATTAAAATACTATAGTAGTACATCAGTAATAAAATAGCACATAGGACAAAAAACTTCTCCATCCATCTCTATTTGTCTACTGTAAAGTAAATTCTGTATTAGTTAACATCTCACACTAAAGATCAATTCATTAATATGAATGCACCTGGTGTAAAAAAAAAAAAAAAACTAACAATAAATGCATTTACAGCATTTGGTTAAAATTAATTTATACATATACTAATAGGCTACATTTTTAGCATTTCAAGTTAATATTTAATAAATTAACATTATTTAATATATTATAAATTAACATGAATTAACACAAATGAATATGAATCCACAATACTATATTTATAAATTACCAGATTAAGATTAATCCCAGATTTTAAAAAACGGTTGTTCATTTACTGAAAAAAAAGATAACCTGCAATTGACTTTTGCAAAAAATGATTATATTTGTGTAACCCAATATGTCAGGTTGATTAGTCATATTTATATTTATTTTTTATTTAGTCATATTTTATATTTATTTTAATTTATGTTAACAAATTGGACCTTACTGTAAAGTGCTACCCTGTATTGGTTTTCCTATCCATGTCATTCCAGTCAAACCTTTACATTTCCTTTCATTTTTGCATTTTCCCCCCATTTGTCATCTCTGATCTTGCCATTTTTCCTCGTCTCCTCTGTATTTTTTGCCGTTGCTCTGTACAGCCATGCCATTCTCACGAAGCTTCCTGTCTGAAGAGCAGCTGCTGTGCTCCATCTGCTTAGACGTGTTTAACAATCCAGTGTCCACGCCATGTGGCCACAGCTTCTGCATGACCTGCATCGGCCACTACTGGGACTCAGTGAAGCACTGCCAGTGCCCCCTCTGCAAGCAGACCTTCAAGAGAAAGCCCGATCTCCACATTAATCGAACTCTCCGTGAGATCATCGAACAGTTCAAGCACATGAAGGAAAACCTGGGGGCCTCTGGAGGGGACGGGGCAGGTAGAGAAGCTGAGGAAGGCGTAAGAAAACAAGACTCAGTGGATGGGACAGTAAGGCCAGGCCAACTACCAGGTTATCTTCTTGAGGAAATGAAGCAGAGACTCACCCGGCACAGAGCATACAGCATTTCTCTGGCCTCTCACAATGAAACAGGGTCTGAACTACCTGTCACACCAAACACTGAGAGTACTTGTGACACCCAGCCACCTGGTTTTGCCAGACAGGTGTCCCTGCGAAGGTATACCCTGAGTGGGGCGGCAGATGCCATGAAAGTGCCCCTTTGTCCAAAACATCACCGTAACCTGGAGCTGTTCTGTCGATCTGATCTGGAGTGTGTTTGTGTTGAGTGTGGACAAACGGAACACCAGTCACATGACATCACATGTGCCGAGAAAGAGTGGCAGAGTCATAAGGTAGGATGAAATGAAGAATAAGTAACAACAGGTACTAACAGAAAATCTGTAAAAGCCTTCACATAAAAACCAAACAGTGGCCCAAAAAACTGTTATTACGTAAGTCACTTTAAAAATGTGTGAATTTTATTGTATAAAGAAAAGAAAAGAAAAGAAAAGAAATATTAAAGTGGCATTTGCAAACAAATCAATCCACTTTTCTGAGTTTTAGCAGCGACTTTTAACCAACTGGTGTCACTTAGTATACTGTAGTGTAGAACTGGTTACCTGGATAAAATAAAATAAAATAAAATAAAATAAAA